TTCAAAAATATGGAAAACTTTTTAAAATGAATTAACTTGAATTCTGAAATGGAGGGAAAAGAGCATACAGTATAACTTTCAACTTACAGAATTTTTGTCTCGTTGAAGGAATAGCCGTTGGCAGTATCCTGCCTAGGAACATGAACACAGAGTTTCCATGTAAATCATTGGCAACTGAGGAGCATACTTCAGAGGCCAAGTTTAGTCCCTCATTGATCTTAATTCTACTTTAAATATTAATACAAATGTGATCAGTCAAAGGCGTTCAGGAGCAAACTCTGCTATCTTAGTCAGACTATGCAGATCATGTATCTGGATTAAGTTTTTGAGTACCTCATAATACCCCTCAGTTGTTTGGACCTTGCGCATAAATCGCTGCCAGGTAGGATGGCAAATGCATTTGAAGAGCTGTCAGCGGCATCCCAGACACCACCTTACCTGCGAGAGGGCTGGTGGGCCATGCCTTGGCAGCCTGGCGGAGCGGGCTGGTTGTGTTGGCCTGTGCCAGGAGGTGACAAAATGGTGGTTTGAGTCAAAGTGGGCCAGCCTTCCTCCATCCATTAGTCAATGAATTTGTTGAAATTCAGCCATATGAAATGCAGGCACCTAACAAACCAGGTCTTGTAATGCCTTTTATCCAAGCAACTGAAATTCAGATTTGTAAGCATGCAGCTGAACGTGCTTAGCATGAATGGCAAAATCATGCAAATCCTCTATTATATATTTTGGTTCATAAGAAATCTCACTTATGTAAAAGATAAATCTGTGCAGGTATCTGGTAGCATAAGGTCCTGCAGCATACAATTAGAAACCTTATAGATGGTAGGAACGTAGCGAATAAAACACAAAGAACACCCCTTTTCAAAATGCGTCTGTCATTCATATAAAGGCAAGTGGATATCCCACTGAAGGCTATTGAAAGGCTTTGAAAGATGTTGCCAGGCTCTAGCAATGATCCATACTAAACTCAGGATATTTTTCCCATCTTTATAAATAATTATTTTCCTATCTTTCATAAGCTACAGAGCTTTCATTAGCAACAGGAATTCATATTAAGACTCTGTGGATAGGAGTACAGAATTTCAGATCATAAAAAGATGAAAAGATGGTTTTAAAATGTTTCTGTGATGCAAATAGCTTTGTAGCAAACAGGCACCTACAAGCCCCCCTCCCCATCCTCCCTCGATCTCTTTTCTCATTTAAGAAATAAGTAAGCATATACTTTAAATTCTAATTTTCTGCAAGTATGTTAGTAAATCCAAACTGACCTTGACCTTAGCTTTGTTAATTTCCGAACTCTGACATTTATTCCCTGAGCAGATTGGTTTCCTTCGTACTACATACATAAATACTGCAAAGCTTTCCAATGACTTGAATTAGAGTGTAAGTAAATAGCTGGTTTTAATCTACATAATATTTTGAGAGCAGACGTTCTGTGCTATGACTATTAAGATATACCCAGCAGCCATTTGTATAATACTAAAAACCTCTTACATATGTTATTAAAAGTAATGCTATCAGCCGGGGCTTGTTTTATGCCACAGAAACTTAAATAATAAAATACAGTGTGGATAAAATCTGCAATAATAGTAACTTAAGCAAAATTAATTTAAGTAACAGATAACATCTGGGGGAAAATGTAATGGTATACTGGTAACTTATGCAAAGCTAATTTTATAATAACTACCACATCTGTGGAACTCATTTATTAGAACGCCTTACCAATCTTCTTTCCTGCCATTATTCTGTCTTAGAAATTTTCCTGTGTGCTTTATTGTCTTTGCTCTGCTTGCATTTGTAAAAAGGTAATTTGCTAGCTCTCAATAATAAGAAAAGCATGCAGGTATACGCAGAGAACAACATACCACTTTTTATACTGTACCTGTTTTTGTGCAAACTTTTACTAGAAAGAATTCTGAGGGGAAAAAAAAAAAAGTAGCATATGGTTATAAATTCAGAGTGATATTTAAACACCAACTACAGTCCTCTGCTGTGACTGTGCTGAGACTTGATGCGATTGGAGCGGGAAAGCAAAGGTGATGCTGAATGATATCTCCTGTATTAACGTCTGCTGAATGCTAGAGCAGCCTCTAGCCTGCTGTAACTTGTCCAGATTCAAGTGGCTTCTTGGCAACCCACTGCACCTTGAAATTAGTAAGAATATTGCATTTAACTTCTGCTCCCTGCAGTCTCCTTCAGAGAATCCCTCTATCTGCAGCTGACACTGATATGCCCTCTACACTTGTGCAGCTTTCCTAGGATTTCTTAATGTTTGAATTCTTATGGACCCATTGGACTGCAATGTGCACGAAAATACCGCCAGTTAATTTTAAGGCATTATCATCTTGCCAAACTCATTTTCATATTTATATAATTATATTGATTCAAAAAGACACTTTGAAAAGCACATCTTTGTTGTAGTGAATAGTGATCAGATAATGACAAATCTTCAGGAATTAAGGAAAGGAGTATGAATTTTTTTTTAATGTAGATCGCTGGAAGCAATTTGCCTTAAATTTACTCAGGATTCAGAAACTTGCAACTTTTTTTTTTTTTTTTTAAGTTAACTGCATAAAACTTACTGTGTCTCCTCTATTTTTAAATAGATTTAACTACAGAGCCATTGGTGCTGTTAAACATGAGGTTTTGTTCAAAGGAAATACAAAGACTTAATTGTATTTTTAAAGGAAAGTATTGCATCAGAAGGATTCATTTAAATACATTTGCTGGCTTCAGGCACTCACCACAATTCATTCGTTCTAATTTTCCTCTGGACTTGTTCAGGACACGACATATAGGAAGGAGCAATGCAAAATGGCATTTTTAGGTCACTATATTTTGGCTGTAAACTGTAGTACTGCTCATAAAATTATTATTACCAAACAAAATACTTCATATTCTTCGTTGCAGTTCCAGAGACTTTTAAAAAAACTTTTGGCTGAATGTTGAGCCTATTATGGCTCATTAAAGAGACTAGTTCTGCTGTAATTTAGTTATTTCTTAATGATCCAAGGGTTATTATTAGACACAGAACAGCTGAGTAAAGAATAGCTCTCTTTAAAAGAATGAAGTGAGGCAAAAATACTATTCTAAAACAAAACCTCTGGAAATCTCATCCATGCTACAAAAATGTATTTGATTAGCTGTGAATTGATTTAAAAAAATCTAATCTAGATTTTTACAGTTTTATTATTTTTTTAATTGATATCAGAATGAATAAATGGAATAATGTGTTGAGCTAAATAAAGAAAATATTTTGAGTTAACAGTTAACTAATTAACCAAAAAATATCATTTTAAGGAAGCAGAAACTATTTGTGAATTCTGGTCCAATCCAGCAAACATTTTGGAATGAAAAAATATTAGGTGAGAGAGCAGATAAAATTGAAATATTTGCTAAATCAAAACAACTCAAATTTAATTTTAAAATGGCATTAGAATTTGAAAACATAACTTCTTTTTGTCTTAGAAAGAATAACATTTAATTCCACTTAAGACTTTTTCATTTTGATGAGAAAACTAAACTTTTTGTCTATTTTACTTGTCAGTCTGTAGGCACTAACAAAATGCTGTAAAATTTTAGTCACAAGTGATACTGGAAAATGCTTCTTGGTCTCTTTAAAATCTCTTTTTATCCTCACTTAAATGCTCAGAATCTTTCTGTCAGCCTTTTGGGTTCAAGTAAGCTCGGAGTAACGCTACCTACCTTTTTTGGCTAGCTCTCACAGTACAGGGAGTCTTAAAGATAATGTCAGAAACCAAATATAACTTCTGAAATGTTTTACGACTAAAAAAGAGATTTTAAAAACCATAACGTGCAATGGCGTGGCCTCACTAATTTTTTCATTTTTTCCTTCATTTTTGTAGACATACAGAACCTTAAATATTTCAGAATTTATCTAACTGTAGCCAAGTAATTGTGAATAAACCAAATATTAACCTAGCTATGATTTCAAGAGTATGAGAAAACTAATTTATGGGAGCCACAGTTACACAACTGTGAGTCGATGAAGTTGACCCACGCCATCCAGGCAAAATCCTGTTTGTAAAAGCTGGCTCAGAGCTCCAGCATCTGCCCGGTGTTCTGGAAGGGCACTTCCCTTCCACAGAGGTCCCAGTCGTACCATTTTAGCATTATACCCCTGTTCCTTGCTCACTCAAAACTGCCTTGTGTCATCTGATTCGGCAGGTATGTTGGCATCCATAAAACAGACAAACAAACAACTTCCCCCTCCCTCCCCCCAGCACGCACTTGACCCTTTAGAAAACTCAGGTTCTTTTTCTACATCACTCCCTAGGAGCCCTAAAGCTAGGGACGAAGGAGAAGTGCTGCATCCAGCTATTCCAGAGGCGGAAAAACCCCTTTCCTTCTCGGAGTGTTCCTGGAGCAGGCAGTTTGCAAGGCAACAGAATACCAGTAAAGTTCCCATCTTCACAAAAAGAAAAAAAAAGAAAAAAAAAAAGAAAAACGGATGCAAATTGATTTAGAAACAAAAATTAGGCAGTCACTGATTCTTAAATTATAGTCATATATGATGATATTTCTCTTAGGGCCTCATTTGATGCAGTGTAACTACAGCTTAACTCTAGCTGACTCTCTTGGTAGAATAACACAGGGTCAGCTGGGCCTTTGAACTCAGAAATGCAACAAGATCCCTGTTTAGAAGTGACAAATTTGCATTGTGAAGGCTGCAAGTTACCCAAACACTGTGTTTTCTAAACTTAATTATCCATATGAGTAAGAAGCTCTAGTGTTATAAAACTATGAAAATGTGTTCTTTCCAAAAAGTACAAAGAGGGCCCCTTGAGAAGCAGACTAGAAATTAAAGCTATAATCATTTTCCATATGTTTTCCAATTCTGAGCACTTGGATAGTAACAAAAAGGTACTGTTTTTCCTGTTTGTCAAGCATTTCATTTCCTTTAAAAAAACTCTAGTAACTAAACTTGTATGCAATAATTAAATATGAATTACAAACTTTTGTTTTGTTAATACTGCCAGTATGTCATTGAACTCGCCCCACCTGCAGATGACACTTTCCCTCCTCCGCTGGAAGAAGGTATACCTTCTGATACCAGTTTATCACCAACAGCTGCAGAGATAGAATCTAAGGTATGGGTTTTTTTTTCCTTTTTTAAAATCTGTTTTACTGTGAGTCCTCTACTTCATTTTTTTCCTGTTGGAGCCCAATCGCTAATTACATTATTTTTTCCAGAATATGGCATACATTCACTTTTAAGATTGAATGAAGTTGCTGTTATTACATTAATCAGTCAGCACAGGAGGACATTTATTTGTATATGCACCTCTGGGCTTACCCACCATGCGACTTCATAACCACAACGTCTGCCTGGCCTGGCCTGGCCTGGCCTGGCCAGGCCAGTGAAGGAGTGAGGCTGGCGCTCGCTGTCAGAGCGGGTCTTGAAAGCAGGCTTTGTGTATTGTTGCGTGTCTTTGTGCTGACATGGTTTAATCTTGTAGAGAGCAGCAAGATGTTCATACTCACATATTTCTTGTGGTTGGTTGCTATTAGGGGTCTGATCGAGAAAGCTACCTGGAAGAGCCCTGTCCTGAAGCAGAATCCTTCGAGGCAGATGCTTTGACTGGTTTCACCGTTGAAGATGTGAAGTCCGTAATGAGTGAGATCACAGATGAATATATTGGCAACCTTGAGGTACTATCACTAGAAAGCTATTCACTAATTCTGTCTGTGGTTAATTACCTAGCTCAGCTTTAATGAATATAAACTGTATTCATGCTAAAGCTGGCAGAAAACACATCCATATGCCATAAGAATCTGAATTAACCTCTATAAATAACTCCTAGTGTAGTCAGCTTACATGTGATAAGATAAAAAATACTCAGTAATATAACAACATATATATTCAGCATTACTATGTGTTAAGAAACATGGGCTAAATCCTGCTCTCAGTGATAACAGTGACAAAATTCTTTTTCAGGAGTTCAGGATCAGCTGCTGTGATGGAGCATATGCAATATGTGCTTAATATAAATTGTTAAACGCATGTATGTTACACATCCTCCAGTCTGAATAAGTAACACATTTATGCCAATTCTAGACTTCAGTTTGTTGGTACGTAATTACAGAAGAGCTGCCTTGGTGGAGAGGGTCAGGTTTCAGTGTGTGATCTGCAGACTGTGAGGAGTCTGAGCTATTTCTATGGGGTTCGTGAGAGGGAAATAAGCAACTATTATCAATGGACTTTAAATTTGTTGTAGGGTGATTTGCCTCTCTGTAGGGAGGTCTGTAAGTTGAAACGTTTGGAAAGCCAGCAGAGTAGACCATTGTTATCGTGTAAACTGCTCCCTAAAGCATATGAAATTATTGAAAGCAAAACAGCTAGACCTCAGTTCCACCATGAAAATACTATGTTGTCTTATTTGCAAAAAACAAGTGGCATTAGGTACTTTGGACTTTGCGTGTCGTTGCAGTTTTTGATATGGCATAGTGGATACTGTAGAATGAGCAGCAGTTTATTAAATTTAGAATATTACTTGAAAATAGTGTGGTATTGATAAATTGTTTTACATGGATTATGTATGAATGGCGAATATCAGTTGGAATAATGATGCTGTCATTAGATTCTGCCTATTTGATTTCATATTCCCTTTCAACAAGTCTTTTAGAAACAGGAGAGAACCTGGCCTATGTTGTCTTATTCCTGTCCATACCTAAAACACCTGTATATTTTAAGAAATTAAATGTGTGATTTTCACTTAACCTTGTGTTTCATTATTATCAGTGGTAGAAGCTTTTTTCTTGAACAAAAACTGCAGAGTTGAGAGAAACATCTTTTCTACTTGTGCAACTCTGTATACCCAGAAAATAACTTCCCCCTAGTTATCAAAAGTCCTCCACCATTTCATCTTTTTCAACTGATTTCTCAAATTGTTGACCTTCCAATAAATCTGATCTTTAGATTTTTACCTGATGCATCATCAAAGTCCTGCCATTATGTTGTTATGCTGTTACGAACTGTGATTTTACAATGTGTTATGTGTTCAGTGGACATAAGGCAACTTTTGCTCCAGTTGAGTCAAGAATAGTCTGAAATCACAGTGCTGACCCTCTGTGATCATGGCACCAGCTAAAGTGAGTGTAGTGGCAGCTGATTTTCACTGAGAGATTTAAAAACCGGAGAAGAAAGGGCAATGGGGTTGGCTGGTAGAGGATTAGCCTGGAGGATTACTGTTCCTCAGGAAAGCGGCTAAGTAAGCATACAGTATGTAGAAGTAGTAGGAGAGGGACGTATTTGTTTATACTTGAGGGTGGGTTGGACTTGGTGAAGGTCAAAAACATCTACAAAGTTGAGATAGAAATTCAAACTGTTTGATATTCATCTGAGCTTTTCAGAACTTTGAAAACATTTTAGATGTCGTTATCAATTACTATATTGCATTATAGCAGCAAGAAGGAATTTTAGGACTGGCATGCCAAAAAGTTCCTAAAATGGCAACTGACTGCAAACTTTTCTGGGTCAAATCCGTTTGCTTTATCAAAATTACACGAAATTCATTGAGAATGTGGCTGTAAGTTTTAGATCAGTTTGTGTGGAGTCCAGAAAGTACCTTTGAGCCCTTTCCAGTTGTTTGAACAAAATTTTATAACTCTTTGAAGAACTGCACCATTCTGTTCCTTCCATTTCTCATATATTTTTGCAGTGACCTATACTGATACTGAAAAATTTACCTAAATTCCCCATCAGTTCCCAATCAATAGGTATGGCCTTTGTTCCAGTGAACCCATGTCTCCAAATGCTATGGAATTAGAGTTCTACACATTATCAGTTCCATAGTTTACTAAAATAGGTCACAACCCTTGTACCTTTCCTACAAATACGACATTGCAAATTAAACACTCAGTATCTACAACATCTGGATTTCCAGAATATGATACACATTCATGATTGTAATTGAGAAAGTGAAGGAACATCACAGAAATGTTTTTTTATTGTTCATTTTCAGTAATGCTTTCTAATTCCAGTAGTATTTCAGTGAAAAGTATTACACTAGAGAACAAACATCTGCAGCAAAGGAAAACAGTGGCAGCAACCAAATCCCAAAGCAATTTTTCTGATTTGGTGTTTATTGGTAAAGTCTGTATGAGGATACAGGCAAATTAGCCTGTCTCCCAAGACAGGGTTATCTGAAAAATGGGTGGCCAAAATCGCTTCCTGTTCATGGCAGATGTACCATACACTGCGATTGTGCATAGTAATATGATAAAGTGTTATCACTTAGGTGCAGGCTGAAACACCGTTATGTCTGCAAAACAGGAAGGTGTGTAGGATAAAGTCTGTCTTATTCCACCACAGTGTGTCAAAACCACAAAGACAATGTGCAGCCTAAGATAGCTCCATCATAACCACTTTTTTCTTTTGATTTTCTTTACAGGCAGAGATAAACAAAAAGCTGCAAATACAAGAAGAAGTTTATACTTCGAGAATAGAAAAATTAAAAAGGCATAAATAACCAGATAAGAAAGGTGAGGTTGAATTTTACAGAAACGGGAGGGCAGGGGGTGGTGGACACAGATGACGGGCTCCCTGCATGAACCTAATTATTTTTGCATGAAGGAAAGTTCAGTTAATGTTTACCTAGAAAGAGTTCATCCCAGTTCCTCAAATTGCTGTGTTCTGATAGTAGTATTATTTAGCTTAGACTTAAGTGAAAGATTATAAACATAAGGATATGTAATTCAAATATGTTGAATCTGAGCTTATTTCCAAATGGAAATCTTAATTTTAAAAGAATTCTCTGTAGTTTTATTCTATATCCTTTTTCCACTTGTAGAATATTTAATAGCTTCCGATTCACACGTAAGATTTTTTTAGGAAATTTTGCTAGAAGGAAAATATGTAAAGAGAGAACATCATTTTGAGACATTGCAGATATAATAAGAAGGGAATTAATTAACATGTAATTACACACTTTTCACTATAGTTATTTGTTAATAATGTGCATGTTATTTCTTTGTAAATTGCTTCTTAGGCTTTAAAAGAAATGTAGTAACTTATACTTCTTTATATCCACTGTATTAAAATTGCTTAAATTAAAAGTTTGCAGTTTTACAGTCTTCCAGTGGAAATTTCTTCTGAATGCACGTAACATTTCATTTGAGAATGTATTTGTTCCTTCTCTGTATGCTAACGTTGTTCCATATTTTGTCACATATTACAGAAATGTTTTAAACTCAAAATAAATGATAACCGAATAACTGTCTTAACATTTTTATTTCAAAACTGTGAACTGTACTAGTTGTATTGTTACAAAACTCTGTGCCTTAGAAAGCACCTTGATTAAATACAAGTCATGCTTGCAAGCATAAAGGCTGGATTACATGTTTAGTAGAATATTTGAGAAACAGGACATTTTATTCATTACTCTTTCGTATTTATTTCTCGTAACGTATTAAGTAAAAAGTTAATTTTTGTTTGATTCCATCCCCATTTTTATGATAATAACAAAAAATATTTTAAAGTCTAATCTCAGCCCAGTCAAAAAAGAAGATAGCTTAAAATAGTTGGTCGCAAGGGTCTCATTTGTCATTGCCCGATCTGCTCCTAGCTTGTACTCAGAACTGAGAACGCAACCAGAAGGGGGCATTGGCTGCACATTATTCATCAAAAAGAATTCCCAGAATAAAAGACAATATCCAGTAGCTACATTTGGGTGGTAATAGGCTGGATATACTCTTTAGAGTGTATGTTGGGTGTGGGTGGGCTTTGAGCCCTTGTAAAACAATTGTTTGTAATTTTAAGTGGGCAGAACATTTTACTTGGTCTCATGTGTTGAGAAAAACCCTTCTCCCGGTACATGAAGTGAATGGATACAGAACTCACTGATCAAGTTTTCTTGGTTTTCTCTCTAGCACTGGCCAGCAAATCTCACTGGCCAGTGAGAGCTTCCTTTCAGCTGTAGAAGTTAACCGTTCGTATTTGAACACTGAAATAACCCACAAGAAATTGTTTATTGGTTTAAATTATCATTTAAAGTTGCTAGGATTTGTAGGGGAAAAAAGACTTCTAGTTATATTCTTAGTTGTTTTATTGCTTAGGAGTATGATTTTTTGTTATCAAAACTTTCTGAAAATCTACATGGCCTTTATTTTGATACATAAATTCATCTTCCAATACATAATGCTCCTATTACAAGTTTCCCTCTTTTTGAGCTCAACGTTGAGAACAGAACTTCAGAAAAGAGCTGTCCAATGGTAAAGAGAATATTTTTTACAGTTTTCTCTGAAAATGTGTTATTGGCAGTTTAGCGTTGTTTCTAAAGCAATTTCAGACTTAGATCTGTAGACGACTACAATCTTGCTACGTGGCTAAGCAGAAAGAGACTGCGATTCGTATTAAGACCAACACCAAACAAAGACTTTTGCCCATATCTTTTCCTCCCTCTGCCCGATTTTGTAGAGCCTCTGGGAAATTTTAAAGTACTTTGAAGAGGAGAAGTTGTATATGAACATCAAGTATTGCTGCAATGATTTGTTAGCATTCATTCTTAGGACATATGCGTAACAGCTGAGGTATTGCCGAAATGTGAAGTGAAGCTCGAATCCCACAAACCATATTTGCAGCGATCTTCCTGCTGAAATAAATAATGCTACCAATAAAAATAGCCCCAGGGATTTTTGGGGAGTGGGAGGGAGGATGGTTAGGAAGCTAAGGTGAAGGAGGGAAGATGAGTAAAAGGTGGATGTAACATCCCTATAAGCAGTCAGAGTGTGTGTTCTGACATAGCGTATGAACATCAAATTGAGGAATCCTTTTATGTCTTTGGAATGCTAATACGAAATAAAAGAAGTCATGCTTTGGCTGTATGGGTAGGAATAAAATGTTCAGATGCAATATGGTGAATTAAGAACAGTCTCCATTCTAAATTCTTGGCTTTTCCATTGGTTAAAATCAGGCTTGCTGTTTTTAAGGTCCCTTGTCGTGTTGAGTTACCAGATAGTCACCTCTAAAAATAATTATATTGCCATTTCTGGAGCCTACAGGGGAGATTTTTGAGGCTTTGGTATAATAATCTTTGATTTTTGTTAGACTGTTGATGTGACATATTTCTTTACAGTGTACATACTTAACGTAGTTCCTAACAGGTTACCACCCTAAAGAGCTTTCCATTTAAATTAGGCAGATGTTGTAGAAAGGAAGGAAAGAGGTTTTACATTCTACCTTCTCTGCCAAAAAAGTGGGGTTTTTTTTCAGAGGATAATGAGTTATCTGCATGACTGCAAAATCCTTCTGGAGATGAAACACTAGAGATTTTATTGTGGGATAGTGAACATCTATTAATTATCCTCTAGTAAAGGAAACATTGTATTTTCAGGCAGTGCTTTCCTTCACTACACTGACAGAGGATAGAAAAAAGAGGTTTAAAAAAGACAGAAAGTAACTTTTTTAATATGAAGCTGGCTTGAAAATGATAGAACGGAAAAAGGAGACTAAAGAGAAAATAATTTCTTTTACCTGTTTCGCAGTGTTTTACCATGGCCTTTTCTTATCAAATATTGCTTCTCTTTCTCTCCACCAAAACTCTTGTTAGAATTTAGAAATTGCGCCATTGTTTCCTTTCTAAAATTGTAACTGACATTCCTAGAAAATTTGCTTTCCCAGAATAACCAGTGAGCGTAAGCATTAAATTCAGCTTTTCATAAGTCAGAAACGGATATTTTCTTTAATGACCTACCCTGCCAACTTTACCACAAAATATGTGTGCAAAGTCAGCATCTGTCCATTTAAATCAGACTCTTAAGGACATGATTCAGTTGATCACCAAAACACATTTAACCAGGTGTGCATATGCTTGTTTGAAAAGATTTATTGCATGAATAGTACATTATTTTCATTGCAGATTTTTTGGTTTTCAACTCATACTCATTGTATTATGTGAAAACTACATATATTACACACTTTCATTATGATTTTTTTCCAGTGAGTCCTTTGTGATTTCTTATTTCTGCCCCTTAATCATGTAAGGTACTTAGACTCTCGTGTTTAAGAATGCCTATGAGGTCTCTTTCATTCTGGTGAGATTTGCATATGCTGCTGCTAAGGGATGTGCTCAGATGCTACTTCTGCTCTGCAGAGCCTACCTGGTATAGGTTTGATCCTTGGCTATAACCCAGAAGTGTATAGAAAAGAACCACTTGGAAGAAAGGACACTGAGCTGTATCCCTCTCATCCTGAACAAGCCCTAACTTACAGCAGAGCGTGGATGTGAAAAGTGAACCTCAGCACGGGTTACGTACATATCAAAGCTGGTAAAGAATTCACAGCTAACACCTACAAGTTTACTGGGGTTTGAAGGGGATGTTTGTACCCTTATTAGCACTAGTCAGTGTGGTATGTCATCCTGCATCATATGATACTGCATGTAACTGGGCAATTCACCCTCTTTCCTCTCCCTCTTGCTTCATCTTAGGATGGTGTTATACCTGCCGCCGCCACAATAGATGCAACCACGTAGTTGGCCTGTTACGCTGACAGTTTAGGGACGGGTTGTGTTCCAGGTGTAATCACCTTCAACTTCTCTGCCACAGTTCACAAGGATGTGACAGCAGTGACAACATGCAGGCAGCATTACTTGCAATGAGCAAGTCAAAACTGAATGTAACGTTTCAACCCATTCGGTTGTGGCACTTCAAGTGTGTAGAGCAAGCTTCAGATGCTGGCAGTTGTGGACCCAGATTATACATGTGTGACAAGAAAGAACAAAAAAAAATCAAAGAGTAATTGCAGTGACTTATGTAATTGAGAGTCCCATTCAGATGCACAGCATTAAACAGAACCTGAAATTAATAATATTGTAGAAAGAACAGAATGTAAAATACCTCCAAGGTAGAAACAACCTGGTTTTGTATGTAGTAGAATTAGCAGTCTACTGTTTTAAAGCTTGGAACCATCACTGACACAACAAAGACTGCATTAAATTTGGGGTCTGTATTCATGTAAAGTTCTGCACTCACAGTGCTGGCTAGGCCAGCTGATAGTTGTATTTGTTTTGCATGTTTATGCAGCCGATTAAAAGAGCAAAAACCAAAAAGGTCAGTTGCTGCAACTATCCAGGCCAGGTGGGGTTGGAGGAGCAAGAGAGGAGACCTGTGGCCTGACAGAAGGAGATTGTTTAGAGGCTACAAGGAATAATACTCCATAAAAAGTTATTCGCCTAAAATGAGTGTAGTACTTCTCCAGTGCTGGCGAAGGGCTACCAGAGTTGCAATGATTTTGGATGCCAATGTGGATGGTGATTCAAGGTGGGAGCCTTTGCAAGGGGATCTTAAGCACCTTCTGGATGATCCGATTCTTCCAGTGACTACAAGGATTTCACCTCCCTCAACTGAGGTTAGTCTACGTGAGCATTTCAGAACTGACCTTTTGGTTTTTTTTTCTTTACAAGCATGTCTCATACATCTTCTTCTTAAAATTTGAATTTTTTATCTTTTAAAACTCCAGTCAGTGCAGTTTTCTTGTCTAAAGGGTCCATTTTTATATGATTGCTTTCATTATAGTGTAAGAACTAACGTGTCACTATGGAGCAGATTCCAAGTGTCCCAGAGTCCTTCCTTTGGCCCTGCTATGGGAAATATTCAGGAAAGAGCATAAGAGCTGGGTGCCATCATGGTGGTCTTCCCTGACATACCCTTCCGTTGATCAGTGTTTTAGAAACTTGTGGTGCTATCCACCCAAACCAATGTTTAATTGAAAGCAGTGGGGCATCTCCTCCATGAATTTGTCTAGTCCTTTTTTGAAGCCAGTTGTACTCCTGGCCACTACCCTGTTCTGTGGCAGTAAGTTGCACAGTTTAATGATGTGTTGATTAATCCCAGTTGGAACAGATTCAAGGAGGCCCATGATTACTCATCTTAGTGGCTCTAAAGTTCTTCAGGTGATGTAAGTGGTGAACCATGAAGTCACTGACGTTTCATGTGCACAACGAGCAGCCAGACACAGGTAAGAAAGAGAGAGCTTGTGTCATTCTCTGCTAGACTGAGCCTGCATTTCTGCCACCTGCCCTGTTAATGTTTTTGTCATTTCTGTTAGTGCCGTATCTAATTTAGATCATAATCTTTCTGAGTCAGAGGTGCGTCATTCAATCTTTATCTGTGTGCTGATGGACACATGCGGCCCTGCCTGAATAGTAAGATGCTTATTGTCTGAGGGAGGACAAATTGCCATGTTTGGTCTGTCAGGCAGACGTTCAATATTTTGCTGTCCTAACCATCAGAGTAGCAAGTTTCTCTGGAGCATATAAGTCAGAAATTACTGTGCAGCTCCAGGAGGAAAACTTTCCCCTTTGATTGTTTTCCAAAGAAATGTTCTCAATTCCTTTTCTGCCAAATTCATACTATGGATCATACGAACAAATTTTCCCAAGCCTTCCTGACCTCCTTCCTTCTTCACAGTAGTAAAAGAAATTTCACTCATCACTGAGAGATGTTAAAGATTACTAAATTTTGCTGATTTAGGAAGCGAGTGAGTGAAACAAGCAGACAAAAATGTAGATACTGCATTGCAGAATGCAGTTAGTTCCATTAATAAGAAAAAGGAAACGTGTGATGTTTCTGCTCTTTCACAATTCGTTATTAAATTGCCTTCTAATGCTTTGCCAGGTTGGGGGTCTGCAGTCACTCCCTTGCTAAAAGGCGAGAAGCGTGCACACGGCACTGGGCAGTGCTAAAATGAGGAGGGCCATGATGCTTACCACATTGCTTTGAACTAAGTGTTTTATTTTGACTGGAGTTCAGAGTTCTCAGTGTTTAGTAGCACCAGTCCCTCTGCTACTAAATCATTTGTAGATGGTTGAGTGAGCCTGCCAAGGCCTTAGTCTGAGTAAGTATTTTTGCTTTGTTTTTTGAATGAGCAAGGTGGGAGAAAGCAAACTTTTTACTGTACTTCTCTTAGTATTCACAATTACACAGTCATGTGAAAATTTTGCCACTAATACCAATTTTTCATAAAAGTTTTCTTGCCAGGTTACTGTTTAGATAAAAGCAGGTGTGTTTTTATCAGATTTTGTATGTTATTTTTGCTCCAAGATTACTCCAGCATTTTTTGAAATGTCACATTTCAACTTAAATTAGCAGTTCATGCAGCTCTAAGGCTCCAGAAGTCAATTCCAATGAACTACTCTAAAAGCAAGACTGATACAGATCTCTGGACTGTATTTCAAAGACATACCTTTGGACTACAAGATTGCACATGAGACTTGACTTCTGTAGAACTCAGTAGAGAGATGTTCATGTGCCACCAAAGGATCATGCTTCAAATACCCTTTTTCTTCTAACTCCAGTTTTCTGTGAGTAATATAGATATGGAGGCTAATCTTCTATTGAAAAAGTTAGATCAATTATCAGCGCTGGTATTTCTATGAACTGATTGTTGTATAGGGCTATGTGAAGGTGTGGCTTTGTGATACATAAGCTTTGGGTATTGTCTCACAAATACAAATTATTGGGCCTGATTTTTAAGCCCTTAATCTCCAGTCTTGCTAACTCTTTACTCAAGCAAAATTCTTGATCTCAATAAGCATATTTACTGTGGCATGACTCAAGTATAACAGAGGCGTGTGCTTGGGTTGCTTGGGGCTGTCTGGCTTGGACACCAGCAGCAGCCAGAGATTAGCTGGGTGGAGCTAGATGTGAACCAGCGCTCAACCCACCCGGAGCCCAGGTGAACTGGGTGCTGAGCTCCATGCTGCCCTTGCTGCATACTTCCCGTACCCCCCAGTCTCGTGTCCATGGATGGTTTTCCCTGAGTAAATACACAACTTTGACGCCATCAGTCTTAAAGCAGGAATTTGATTCTGTTTACACTTTTCTGTGCTGCGCTTCCAACAGGTTGAACACGTATGTGTTTTGCATGGTTGAGAAACACTGTGATTTAGATGGATACACGTTATTCCTCAGCTCTATGTTAACAATCAGAAATGAGCCTTTGGATTTATTAGTTCCCAATCTTGCACCTATCTTAAATCATTATCATATAATAAAAACTCTGTATGGTGCATTGTCAATAAAACCTAATATTGAGAAGATTACTGATCGTCTAGTGCAAGTGGAGAGCACCATAAATGATTTAGAGAATAAGTGTCAAACATTAAAGCTATCTAATACCTTCTAAAGTAGGTTGATACTCATAAATCTAAGATAAAGGACCTGTAAAACCACTTAAGAAGAAATAATACTCATTTAATCAGGCTTCCAGTGAAAAGACTAGGTAGGAGAGAAATTCAGAAGGAATTATTAAATCTCTTCAATTTCAGTACTTTATTGATAGAGAAAGCAAGCCTAAATTTGATAAGCAATTTTAATTACCTAAAACTATCTTTGTAATACTGCTAAATTACGACCACTCCCTGCGGGGGGGGAAGGGAGCAGAAAGAAAAAGGAACAGCCAAAGGGCATCTCCTTTATGGTTTAGTGAGCTCTTAGTTTTCCAGATTCAGCATTGTGTATATCAGACTGAGATATAAGGGACATTTATTGGAATTAGCGTTTTGCTCGATCACAGGGGTGGGTTGTTGGATTTGGCTTCCACCTGTTTGGCTGTTATCATTCACAGATAGCAGAAGTGGTAGGTAAGTATAATGCTCTTCCCTGAGAGGAACAAGAAATCGTTTATTGGTGAAACGTTGATTAAAATGATAGTGAAATAAACTCCATGTTGATGTGTAGTTGAGAGGTAACTTACACAAACAGTCTATTGATTTTAGTGGTATCTTCTGCGCTTTGATCCTGCAGAAAAGTATTTTTCCCTTTCTACTTTATTTTTCAGATCCATTTGAAAGGTGGAATAAATGCGGGTAGCAGAAAAATTGGGCCATATTTTTCATTACCAAAGGTCTGAATCTGCAGTTCTCATGCAGTTAAAATTTTCATTCTCTTTGATAGGTTTTTAAGCCAATTTGTAAACTTCGGTTCATCTTTTTGGCTTTATGGTTGTTCAGAGCTCAACATCACTGACAGCATTTATTACAACTTGACACAAAGCTTGTCTTGAAGCAACTGTAATAGTATATTTAGGCGAGGAGAAATCTTTCTGAAGAGAAGTATGCTCTGACTCATGTGACTCTGCTGCTGCTCTGTTGACCCTAGCAGACTTACTCATCGTTTACATAGTGGCAAACAAGATTAGATTTTGGCCTGGTGCCTTATTTCACTTGATCCAATGAATGTCCAGCTTGAAAATGTATTTTACTTAAATTCACATTTTTTAAGATAAAATGGATATCAAACTCCTTTCCTCTTATTATGAAAAAGTAAAGACACATGCTGCTTTGAGTGGAATTAGTGAATGAAATTCAAATGCGTCTGATCCATTTATAACTTATTTACACTGCAAAAAAAAAAAACCCAGGGGGTGACATGGTTGTGGTTAAACTGTATTATCACCTGCTTTATTCTTGCTTGCTCTTACAGAGGAGAAAACACACAAACATACATATTCTTATGCAATGGCTGTCATCACATTGAGCTATACAGCTGTGTTGGAGACGGTTGTTTCTGTAATGGGAATGCAACCTTGGTTACAAATTTCCATTAGTTGTGAATTTTTTAGATGGACCAATGTCCATCTGAAGAAAACCTTCTACTTTTTGCTTTCTCTTCAGCTGGTATAAAGTTAAAATCATTTCACTGAAATACAAGTTAAACAGAGTATGCATTAAGGAAAGATCATTTCAGAAATCTGTCAGCCTTAGGAACATTTCTTTTCAATTCCTGAGAATACCTAGGAATAATTGGTTTCGTTACTCTGAGGTAGAGCAGTTTGTTGCATATATGTTGTATGCGAGTTGTATGTTTGTTGTAGTTGTTACTAGTTAAAACAAAAAAAGAGGCAACAGCTGTACTGATTTTTACCTAGTTATTTCTTACTGTAGCATCTGGCTGTTAACGGAGAGCAGGGAGAAATGCACGTATGATTGAGTCTTCCTCTGAGAGCTGGAAGCTGAAGCCTTTCTCATATAAAATGGCTTGTGAAGGGGAGAACTGCTTGGCGCTGATCAATTTTTATTTTGATGCCGGTGCTTTTTAAAATTTATGTTTTGGGTGTTTTTTTTTTTTTAAACAAACACTGAGGAATGGTAGAAAGAAAATGATGTCTGGTAACTAGTGGCAGATGTTATTTTATGGTAGTTGATTTGCCAGCAAGTCTGGGAGACACAGATAGCTCGTAACTGTTGGAAATGGAAGGCCATTGGCATTTGGTTAGGCCTGAAGGGTTTGTGTTGTTGAACCATAATCCAGCAGCAAACAGAACTGTGGGGCCTGTCCTCAACTTCAGTCAACTGCAAAAACTCCGTACGGTAAAGCCGTAGCAAGCTTTACACGGGTTGAGGATCTGCCCCCAGGCCTCTCCCAGATTATGTATGGGAGAAACCCTCATTCCTCACAGGCAAATCACACATGCACATGCCCTCTTCAGTTATAATTAAATTAAAATCTCGCTAATTTGGAAGCATACCTATCATGTTCTCTTCTAGGAAGAAACTATTATTTCTCCTTTCATTCTCTTCTGCTTGAATCCCAAGCTATCAATGCCTTTCAAAGAAAAAGGAGTTTTTCTTTAGAAAAAAGTCTATTCAAATTATTCATGATTTATATCAAGAAGGGACCTTTCCTCTTTCAACTAGCAAAAAAGGGGGAGTTTGATCTTCCTCGAAATCGTTTGAGAACCTTGTACATTTCTTTCCAGAGCTAAAACTTTCTTGCAAAGCTTTGGATATTCAGCAGAATAATGACTATTACATAATTGAAGCTCAATACAATACCATGGGGCTAATAAATGGTCTCCTGGTTCTATAGAAAATGTAACAAATCATAATAGCACTTATTGGGACTAGGCCAGGCACAAATGACAAAGCTGCTTTTGAAAGTGAGTTGTGGCCAGAAATACTCTTTTGGACTAAAATCATTTTCTTGACTGTCAGGGGTACATTTACTCGCTTTAATTTTCAGCCTAGATTTTATGTTGATCCTGCCCCACTGAATAAAATGAAGCCTGACAGAGCTGCTACTGCAGCAGTTACAGATGTAAATGTGAAGAAGGCTATTTGAGTCTGTTCCCCGAATATGTTATTTTGAAATTATGCAGATTATATTAAAAATGACTGGATATGTCCTGATTGTGTGTTTTTAAAGGAAGAAGAAGATGCTGCACTATTAAGTGGTTTATTAACATCTCTGATCACAGCTCTTTTACTTAGAAAATAATTGTTCCATTGTGTGCTGTGAAGCTGCCTGTAAACAACTGGCAAAGGGATATACTGTTTTGTGTTCTCCATAGAGAAAGTATCAAATTCAATTGATTAATCAAAGAAGACATTCTTTGATGGAAGGGAACCTTTTCAAAGTTTATTGAAAATACTGAATAAACCATGAGTTATCAAAGTCCATAATCTGAACTTCTGCACTACTTTCTCAGATACAGTAGCTGCTGTGTAAACCTTCAAAATAACTCGTAAAGCAGGAAATGAGATGCATTTAATTAAAAAAAAAAACTCTCAGAACAATGTATTCTAAATCCCTATCTTGATTTGATCTCAGTTACACCATTGTGGCTCCACTGATTTTACCAGAATCACTCTGTGTTTCCACTGGAGAGACTAATAGAAAGAATCAAGCCTTGGACCTTTTCAGACACTGGTTCAGGAACAACCTCTGTTTTTCCATAGAGGGTTTTCCCCCTATTCTGAAAGAAGAAATGTGATTGCTATCATTGAAGCTGCGCGGTGATTGTAGATAATCAGGTATGACCTGCAGATTGAATGAATATCTTGTCCCTGTTTCAGGAGGACAATAATCATGGCCAAAGGCAGGATGGCTGGTGGGAATGAAGACAGGTGAAATGTAAACAACCAGAGCTGAAGTGGAAAGAGAACTCAAACAGGTGAGAGTAGCACATCTCTGTCTTGTAGTTGGTACTGAAATCTCGGGCCTCTATGAAGCGTTACGTGGAAAGCCATCGTGCTGTCCAGGACCAAATTAAAATGGAAGTTAGCACATAAAATACTCATATTTAGCAGCAGGAAAAAGTTCTTGGAATGTGTCCAGATATTTTTATGGGAAGAAAAAACAACTGAAAGAGTTATCAGAGATGCATAGGCAGAGAGTAAATGAAAGGAACTGAAAAAACTGGTTGATCATGGTAGAGTAACCTGATGCCATTTTTGTTTAGTTTTTCACAACTGCACCAGACAATGAAGTGAAGTGGGTCAGGTGCAGATCACTTCCAGCCATAACCTCTGGCTGGAAGATGGGATGGAGAGCAGGGTAGCGGCAGAGGCATCTATGAGAACCCAACAGAGGCCCTTAGAGCCCTTGGTTCTGAAGGTAGCATTTTTTAATTTGTTTAGAGCAGCACCCCTGACCCAATGGGGAAAGAAAAACAAACCAACTGAGAGCTTTTGGGCAAAGGCACTTGGCTGAAAGAGGTGTGGGGGTCTGTCAGCAAAGCATCTGTCTCTGGTTGAGTCCTCCTTTGTTCTGGAAATGAAGACTCTCGCTGGGAACACAGAGATTTGCAGTGAAGACCCTTGCCAGACCCCAACCACAGTAAATACAGGACCGCCAAAACTCTGATTACTTGTCTGGGACAAGAGAAATCGTATTAATTAAAAAGCAGCCTTCCTACATGCCATCCCATCCTATGCGGTGCTACTGTTCAAAAGGCTTAACCTAAATAACCTAAATACTCTGTTGGATAAGGCAACACATTAACAAGAAGAAAAGAGACACCTTAATAAAAAAAAAAAAAAAAAAGACACCAAAAAAAAAAAAAAAAAAAAAACCCTTCCACAGACAGTTAGTGACAGATGACTGTAGTGACAGATGAATATCTTCCAAGGGGGAAAAGCTTCTATATGCAAACGCCAAACAAAAACGGCAGAGAAAAAACTCTGACAATGCATTGCACGGAATTAGTTATTAGAACTCTGTAAGTGATCATTTTCATGAAACTTGCATTTAATTTGTTATTGACCTTTTCCCTTTTATCTTCTGGCTGCATGTGTTTGTGGGGGACAGTGGTTCCTTACGCTATTGCATCTCCCTTCCTGTGCTGAGCTGCTTTTGTTTACTTGAATATATGTGGAGAGGGACATGGGGCAGCTAAGATGGGCTAGATGTGAATCTCCCAGTTTCGAACTCGTCTCTCTTTCTGATTCTAGCTTAGACCAAAAAGGGGAAAGTGAAAACCACTGTTTCAGATGTCGTCGAGTTCTTTTGAAAATAAATAAAATCTCAGTTGTCCTGCTGGCAGTACAGCCCTTTTGGGTCAAAGCACAGGGGAGCAGCCTATAAGATGTAAATGTTGTCGAGGGTACAAAGAAACATTAGCTTCATTACACTGTGGAGATGTACCCTTTCAAGTGTGTTGCAATGGCATGTGGGCTAACTACAGAAATTATTTACCTATGCTGCTATTGCTAAAGCACCCAAGCAAGCTAGTTCAAAACTAGCCCCATGTACCTATGTGTGTGGCAATCACTGAAATCACTGTACTGTCAACTCAGCTTAATACCCTGGATTTCTGCTCGAAACTGTTGCGATCTAAAACCATCTCCTTGGCTTGCTCCTAGGAGTATCTTGCTCAGGGAAGTTGGCAAGTATTGAAATTGTTTCCCGTCTCGCAAGAATCTGGGAAGCTCACTGATTCTCTAGGGCCACATTGACACCTCTTGACAAATGTGGCTTGATGGCGCAGGTATAATATTAGCTCTGGAGATCTCCGTAAGTCTGAGAGCTTCTTTCCTCATGTAGCCCCTTGTGGTGTGCGCCCAGCTGCCCTCCTAGTCTCTACCACTGATATCAATGAGCGACAAGCACAGGCATTTTAAACTAAAAGGAGGTATTTAAATACTGTCAGGAACAACAGATAAAATGACCTCAAACAATCCCCCATGAAGCCCTTTGTTATTTTCAAAGCACTTTCCCAGCTTGACATCTTTGCTTTTTCATACCCAATATAAAATTCAAAATGTTTTTATTCCAATGTGGCACGTGAATATGAATAATATCAAACCTCACACTACATTTTAGTGCTAGTGCTTTGAAAAAGGACCTGAAGTAAACTCTGCATAAAGATCGAGAAAATTATATTCCACTTCTCAAACTTTTGTTCCCCTTTGTTTTATGTAGAATAACTTTTCTCAACCCAGCGTGCTTACAGCACTAAGGAGAGGGCCAGACCCTGCTGGAGCTGGCTCTGTGCGTGACAGCTCAGAAGTGCTTGAGGATGAGCAGACTGTTCTCAGACCTGCGTCAGCTGCTGCTAGCACCGGGGGCCCACACCGACAGAATGGTTGGCCAGTGCCTCCCCTAAAATGCTGTCCCTCTGACCGCCGTGCTCCTCCTGCCCATGGCCGCGGCTGCTTTCCTTTGCAGAGTCTATTGCTGCTGTACGCTCGTCCTTGCTAACCTGCCAAAGCCAGAGGCTACTCTTGCACTCTATCTTGCTTCAAATATGAGCCTCAAAAGCACCTCCTTCTTTCTGTTTGGTATTACTGTGACCTCGGTTACTGATATTACCAGAGAGCTTACTTCCGCAGTACTGCTGCTCTGATTTCTGGAGAATGTGACCTCCTGCTTTTGCGCTCTATTTTACAAGGTGTCTTCTGACCCGCTGAGTACACAGCTGAATACCAGAAGCAGCACAACACAAGTCGGTCCTGCTGGGTAGGAGCAGGGAAGAGATGAAGAGTGAAGAAATGCAGTCCTGTCTCTCCAAAAAGGATTTGGACATTGTGCAGTGTGGACAAAGGCAAGGTAACGATGAGGTAAAGGAGGCGAGAGCTGGCAAGGCCTCGTGATTTCTTGACAACGTTTTTCTGGGATGTAAAGGGTCAGTAGAAATGGCCTTTTGTGGTGCTGTGCCTAAAAGGTTGATGTCTAATTTCTGCTTTCCTTTCTGCTAATTGGTGTGACTAAATGACTCTGAAATTACCTCAGCGTAACTAAGTGCAGATTTTGGGCCTGTGTGTAAACAGAAATGGCAATAAAGCAGTTTAGAGATGTTTGGAATAGGCATATCTGCATGCAACAAAGCAAATAGTTGAGTGGATTTGCATCCTTTTTAGTATGTCAAAGAAAGTTTTAAGCTCTTACTTGGAGAAGTCAAGCCAGGAACAATAAGCTTGTCTGGAGAATTCTGGTATTGGAAACTAAAGGATACAGAACTGTATCCAAGGTAAATATTGATGTGCCTCAAGAGGAACTAGTAAAACATTTAATGAAGCTGAAGATACTGCATCTGGAATAGATGTTTATTGTAAAAAGTGCTACATTTAAGCAAAAGTAGCCTAGTGATGATGGAGGTTATTCTTAGGGAAGCCAAGTTGGAGGAACAGCATTTTCTGAAAGAAACTTATTCCAGTTATTTGTGAAACATGGAAAAAATTAGAATGATAAGAGAACTAAAAATATAAATGAATAGAAAGCAGTTGTTTTGGACATTCAGAGTGGATTTTGGAGACTGAATCATACCAAGGGACAAATTACTCAGGTGTCCAGAATAACTCAATTGACTTTAATGGATTTCTCTGCGTTTGCCTTTGTATAATTGAGAGTTTACTCCCTTATGCCATATGAGTACTGTGTATTAAGAAATTTGAGAAAAATATTGACTTTCATTCATTCTAGTGTCATTCTCTTGATGATAGAGAATAAGTCACATTAACTTCACAAGGCATTTAACAGGCACAGTAGAGGCTTTTCCCTTTTGTGCAGCATCCAGAAAAAAAAAGTGCACAGCGCTGTGAAAATAATCAGAAAGGCTCCATTAATCTAGAAATGGGAATAAATTGTGCAGCTGTATTAGAAGTCTTACATATAAGTCTAAGGTGTTATCAGAATGTTCTTTTCTGAGATCCACTGAACCAGGGCTGTTACTAGTGATGGACATAGACACACTAGTGTTTACTAGTGGTGGACATATAGATGCCAAAAATTGAAGCTGACTGCTTAGGAGTGTTCTATAACCAGCTTTATTCTACCTCAGAAATGCAGGACTAATTCATAAGGACTCAGGACATAGAAAAGATACATTTGGTCTGATCACATGTAGCATACCTACAGTTGTAGCAGCATTCCTGTTACATATGTGGTAACTCAATAATCCAGTGATTATGCATGTGCAGCTACAGTCTCCTAGAGGAGACTAAGCCTAGGCCTCCTAGACTTCTTACCGCCACGCAAAGGTGCCCATTCTCACAGCCCAGAGGCACGGGATAATCCGTATGGCTGACCATGTGGCAGAGAGAAGAGAAGCAGGGCAGGAGGAGAATGGAGAGAGGGGTGCCCAGGGAGAAGAGTGATCAGGAGAGTCTGCTGTGCAACAGCAATGCATCCACCCTTGCTCCTGGGCTGCTTCTGGTGGATTTCAGGAAAACAGCAATTGTAGTGTGTTTGGCTCTGCTGAACTCTGGAGTTGGGAGTCGGGGAGGAAAGTAAGGGGAAAAAGAGGGAGGTGACCTGGAGAATGCGCCATCTCTAGAAACTTTTATGCTAGAAAGAGGTGAGTGCTGCAGTCTCTTTGTCCTCCCAGCAATCTTTTGGAAAGCTGGGTTCCAAAATAATTCAGGACTTTAAGCATAACCAACAGCTTCTTGAACTGGATTTAGAAAATCCACAGACAACCCATCGGCCTCCTTCACCTCCTATTCACTGAGGAGGTTTCCTCTGGCTAGTATTCCTAATACAGCCATGATCAAATCATAGTTGCTGGTAGCTTTTATTGCTAAAATAAACAAATAGCACCTTATTTGGTTACTGTCCCAATCTTCAAAGTTAGAGTCGGTCTAGGCATCAGTAGGGCTTGGCAGTACAGACATGCAATTGAAATGCAAAGGAGATGCTGATAATATAAAACACATGTTACTTATGTAGGTCATTCAGTGTCATTTTAAATGCTCTCTGCAAAGCACCTCAGCGTGTTCATCAATGAGCAACCTCAGCCAAAATAATGCTAGAGTCGCAAATTCTTTGAGAGGCTGCACGGAAGCACAGTGTCATCCAGAAGGGCGTTCTTCCGAGCTGGAGCTCGCCCCAGAGAAGGATGTTGACACAAGTGGTAGATATGCGGGATCAACTGTCAGTATTGCCCTCTGAAACTCAAGTTCAGCAAAGATCTACTCTAGGTATAGCAGGAAGGAATCAATGAGTATAAAAATAGATCAAAAGCAAGTAAGGGCTTTTTTTTGACATTCTGCCCCCCCACCACCACTCTTTTATTGTTTTTGTGCTCATAAAACCACTAGCTGATCAGCTCACTTTCAGAAATGGAAAACCTGCTAACTAAAAGATATGTACAAAATCAGATATGTGTAATGCTTGATAACAGTAGAGTGAGATTTCTTTCTGCCCCCTTAACTTTTAAGATCCAGCCGATATAACCCTTTTTCTGTCATCATAATATTTGGCATTATTCCCATCTGTATAGAATGCAACATCTGCAAGTTTTAAAAATTAATATAGAGCTCCATCATTGTATAAGCCTTGCTCATTTTAATGGTCCTAAATAAGCAGCTTAGCTTTGATGCAAAACAAGATACAGTCAGGAAATAAAGTGCTCTACTTGTACAAAGCAAGCTACTCTAACGGGGCTAGTATGATCATGTCCATGTGGTTAATACTCACGCATATGATGATTAAAGTGTAAGGCCATGTCGTTGAGAAGTAGAATATGGACTTAAACTGCCAATACTTGGACACTTAATAAGTTACTAGTAAGTGGCTAGAAGTGTTCTGGCTCTATTCACTAGCCCAGATCAATCCACTAAGTAGTATTGGCACTGATTACAGGAGAGCTTGCCTAGCACTAAGGGAGAGAAACAGCCTAAGACATCTTCCTATTTACAAGTTGCCATATATGCTACTTTTTGCCATATGGCTGTAATGTTAAAAACTGAAAGTTAAACGCTTAAGACCTCTTTCAATTATGTCTAAAACCGTGCTGGCCACGTTGTGGGAGAATTCCTTTGAGCTTACGGTGAGAATTTGCCACAAGAGAGAAATTCTTGGAGCTGCCTGTATCTGTGGCTATATTAATAAACATCCCACGCAGAGCAGCTTTTTGTCACTGTACGGCTCACTCTGGACGTAGACAGGCTATGGCGCAAGGCTCTGCTTCCCAAGAGCAGTTGCCCCTGAATTTATAGCTCCAGCACTGCTTTTTGGTAGCGTAATCAGTGCACTTCTCTTCAGAGGCTTTCTGTGAAGAGGAGGCACAGCATCAGCATGGCTGATCTTATGATGCATACACTTAAAAAAATTAAAACAAATCAAATGAGCATAAATTCTAGGCCATATAAGCCACAACACAAATACACGTAATTGTTGCTGATGTGTTCTGAGGAGCAAGTTACCTATATCTCCTCTGTTCTTTTGTTTTTCCTTTAATTGCTGTGTTTCTAGGTGTGATGGGTAGGGCTGCCTTTTGTCCATTTGGAAGGTCTGAAAAATGATCAGTGCGCGCTGTGTATGGCTTCATATTTGACGGTGCATGTATCTTATTACAGGCTGTAAACGACCTAGACATTATAGATTGAGAGATGTTATAAATATGGTGCAGAATTTTCAGGTTTATTGAAACAATGGTCTTTTTCTAAAGGTAGGTAAAGTAGAAAAATAACTGTGAACAATAACTTCAGACCTTGCTGTTGCTAAGGATGTGGCAGGCAGTTTCAGGAATGTTTCTGCTTTCCCTGCGTGTTTGTAAAGCCTTGGAAAACTCTGCCTGCAACCTGTTTCAGCATAAAGGAAACAGAAGAAGAATCAGGCCCTTTATTTCATGAGTTCAGTAATGGAGGACTGAAGCAGCAAAAGACGGATGCTTTTCTGAAAAGATCTGAACAGCTGATTCATGGTGAAGTAACATGCTTTTAGCTGGGAAGGTTTATTGTAGCTGAACCTCATGCCATCCCTCTAGCCGATATCTTAGATGAATCAGCATCGTGCTATTTTTATCTCAGCTGTACCAATAGAGTTTATAATATTGTTCTGTCAGTGCTATTTATACACCATCACATGCCTGACTACTCCAGGCTGTGCTTTTTTTTTTTTTCTCCACACTCTTGGATGATGTCATCATGAAGTAGGCATTTTTATTGAACAAAGGCTTTCTTCAGAATAGCAACAATTAGAGCGTAGGGCAGAGTACGACACCAGGAGCCACTGAAATACAGAGATAAACCCCCCAGTTTTAAGGTAGCTCTAAGAGGGGGCTTTCATTGCTTCAATAGCTGGGCAAGTGCGTTGCTCCCCCTGGGGAACGGTTTGTAAAGGAGTCGTGCTGCTGTCAGTGCCGCACCTGGCCTTTGAGACAGAGAAATGTCGGGAGAAGCGGGCTGAGAAGTTGGACTGCTCTGCATGGAGGACTTGTCAATAGTATAATGATTCAGGGAAAGAAAGACAAAAACCTCTGAGGAGGAAAATTTCCACCTGTTCTACGTCTTCTCCTCAGTCATTCACAAACAGAGAAACAGGGTTTCTCTTCTCTTTTCTTCTGTCTGAAGATATTCATCCTCCTTAAATTTTTTTGACTATATTGTAAGGGTTTGAAAATGCATCTGTGTGGGTCTGGCCAGCCTGGAAGCCTGCAGTCGTGCCCATGTGCATCTTTCTGAAGCCAGAGAACTGAAGCCCATTGTAGCGTGAAGCAGTGAAAGATCTACAAATAATTTGCAAAGAAAGAATTCAGCGTCCTCAGTTGATCATCTTTTCATTTGTAATGTTCCAGCAAGCCTGAAATTCTT